TTCTTGCCTCGTCCCCCGCGGCCGCCGCCGCCACCCGCGCTGGAGCGCTGACATCGCCGCCTCCGGGGGGCTCACGGCGGCCGAGACCCGGCCTTCCTTTCCCGTGGGCAGCGCTCGGCGCCGCGCGTTGCAAAGTAAGACTCCCCCCGCCCGCACCTTTCCTCCTCGCCCTGGCTTTGGCGCCCCCCTCCCCCTGACCCTTGGCCAGGCTTCGTTTTCCCACCCGTGAAGAAGAGGCGCCGGAGGAATGGGGTCGGGGCGCCGCGGGGGCGCCTGCGGGGCTTGGGGAAAGTGCAGCGGCTCCTTGCAGCCGGGGGTCGGGGGGGGCGGAGGAAGGCGAGGGGGAGGGAAGACCCCCCCCAACACACCCGGGTTCGCGGCCCGAAGTGAGAGATGGTGGGGAAGACACGGTGAGGATCCCGGGGTGCGGGGCGGGCGGGGGCTCACCTGTGTGGTCCCCCTCCCTCCGCCCGCCCGCCGGCTCGTGATTCCCTCCCGAGCCCCCGGAAAGCTCCGCGCCCTCCGCGTGCGGCCGCGTTGTATGGGGAAAGGTAGCGCCGAGACCGCGCGCTCCCGCTCCTCCCTCTCTCCCCCCCCCCAGCCCCCCTTCACCCCCACCCCGCTCCCGCGTCCTCCCCTCTCCGCCCTCCGCCTGCGCCCCTCGCCGCCCCCCAGCGCGCGCCCAGCCCTGCAAACTTGGAACAAGCTCCCGGGCCCTCGGGGAAGAAACTTGGGGCCCCCGGGACTCGGAGGAGCATCTCGCTCGCTCTGGATCCTGGAGGTCGGGAGCTGTCCGGGCGCCTGGCTCCTCCGGGCGCGGGGCAGGAGTGTGTGTAGGGAGAACCAGGAGGGTTTGCCGAGCCCTCCCGGGGCCAGCAGAGAACCTGCCGCAGTGCCTGGAGCCAGGATTACAGCGTGGCTGGTGGCAGGGAGCGCCCGGGGCGAATGACTGCCTGCGGCGGTTAGGGACTAGAGCTTGGGAGGGTTTGGAGGGCTGGTGGGTCGCCGGATCAGAAACCTGGGGATCTACCTACAAGTTCTGAGGAACAGGGTACATCTTGCTGATGGGAAGGATAAGACCTCCTGGATCTGTCCTGGCTGAGTCCTTGGCAGATAGCAGGGAGAAAGTCTTGGCTGCTTTGAATTTTCCTGGATGGGCAATGTGAATGAGACTTACTCAAAACAAGTCAGGTTCAAAGGAAATTAGAAATTGCTCACCTTGTATTAAGCTAAAATAAACATTTTGCACCAAATCACTGAACTTTTTATTTTTTTAAAAAAATTTCCACTAACATTACCCAAGATACTTTAAATATGCAGATTATATTCTCACAAGAGTCTGGTGTATGAGGGCAAAAGTATGAAGTGGGAATCGGAGGTCATTTAGATTTAGTACTTTGTTATTCAGCAAAATCAAGTGGGGGCATAGGTTAGTTGTTCATTCGAGTTTTCTGTATGAATTTGAGGAGCATTTGTGTAAGAGAATTCCATCTGGATGATAATGTGTCCCACCCTGGGGGAAGTAAAAAAAAATCTTAACATTTTGCAAGCTTGTAGTATTGCTTAAAAAAAAAAGTCCTCGAGTGATTTTCTTGGATTGAAACGTGAGGTATGTTAGTTGACCTTAGGCTGTTAATAGAAACTTGAAATAGAATGTTTGATTAATTTATTCTCTCTGGAGGAACTAATTTTCCAGTTTCTAGTCAGTGAGGTTTGCTGCTGTTAGAAGAAAACAGCCTAATGTGCTGTTGGTTGAGTTCCGTAGAAAAGGACTTAGTGTAAAGAATATTTTGGCTTGCACCAATCCAAGTGTGAGAATAACAAAGAAAAAGTAGCTGCTTAGACCACAAAGCCTTGTCAGGTATAAACACCTTAGCTTTAGAGAAAGCTATTTTCCTGACTACAAAGTTTCTAAATTAAAACTCAATCTTGTTGCTATGGGCACTGCTGATGCTTTTTTTTAACCTTTAGTTCTGTTTCCACACCAATCTTTATACCTCTGATCATGAAAAGTCTGCATTAAACCATTCTAACAAACTAAAGAGAAATAACTTGACTGGGATTGCAAATGAACATTTACTACCTTAAAAATAACTGAAGAAAAAAATAGATATCTATTAAAACCTGACACTCTACAGACTAAGAGTTCAGGGCTCAGTGTGCCAGGGACAGAATCCCCTTCTGAAGAAATAGGTGAGTTTCTGTGGGTGTGTGTACCTACAGAGGCTTCTGCCTTGCATTTGAAAAAAGCCCAAGGATTTCTGCTCACTCGATGCCTGCCTTGGATTTTAGCTCTGTAAACTGTGACTATGGCAAGCTTCAAATTGGTCCAGTTTAAGTTATGTGGGGTAACTCGGTTGTAATCTGAAGTCTTAACGTCAGTGCTTTATCCTGATTTTCTTCATGATGCATTGAAACTGAATGGTAATCATTACCCTAACCTAGCATTTGGTCAGGGTTGGGTACTCGCCGTTGGGATAGAGCAGAAAGGAACAAAAGAAACCAGAAAGGCTGGTGTTGATTTGAAGGGTCTCTGCAGCCTGAATATGATAAAAATCACACGTGCACTTACCATGTTTACTGTATGTGGCAGCTCTTATTTGTAAATAGGGCAGGTCCTCTGCATAAAGCTGGTGTTATTATTCACACCCATAGAACAAACACCTCCACCCCCCTGTTGTTGTCTTAAAAAACTCCAGCTGCTCATGAATATAGGGTCAGGGAGGGCCGGCTAAATGTTTCTCTGTGCTTTCTCTCCAGCACAGCCAGCAGAGCTGTTTCCTGTTCTTTGTTTCAAGGCTGGGGTTTGCGTCATACATTCCAAGTGGCATATGTGTGCTCTTTCCTGTTTCAGGCTGTTTTCTGGTAGATCAGTAGCCTGGACCAGGCCACGGTCCCTGCCCCTCTACTCTGGATCCCCACCCAGGGAGTTATCTTGTCTCTACACTGAGCAATTGCCTAAGATGCTTGTGTTATGTCATAATGAGAAGTCAGTTAACCTTTTTACATACAGCCTTTGCTCCTGAGTTTAGATGGGCAAATCAATACCTTTTACTTTTTTTTTTCCAACATTTTGATTGTGGATTTTAAGGAATTTATGTTGTGTCTAGTGGCAAAGAAAACTGAAGGAGTTTGCTTTTTGTTTGTGTTTGCAGTCCTCATGTGAAGGTGGGTAAGGTGTTGCAGATAGGCGTTTTGCCCTGAAGCTCTCAATTTTGGATCAGTATTAACATCCTACAGTAGACAAGAAAGCTGTGACCATTCTGTCCACTTCCATACTGGCTGCCCAAGGCATGCTGGGATGCAGGGGGGCTGGGGGGGGGATGTCTACACAGCTTGATGACCTGGGTTGAAGAAACTAATGTTAGGAAGAAATCTTTAGGCAAATTATTTAGGCAAACGTACGTGTGTGTATGTGTGTGTGTGTGTGTGTGTGTGTGTGAGTGAGTGTGTGTGTGTGTGTGTGTAAGAATTTTAAGAATAAAAAGCTTAAGGAAAAGGAGAACAGGTAATAAGATTCATTTAATGATAGGGTGTTTTTAAGTTTATATTTTGAAAATAGAAGAAAAACACTTTCAATGGCAAACTTGTCATGTCCCAATTTTTAAAATGTCCCCTTGATGGGTTAACTTTAAAACATACAGGAGCCTTATTTTTCTCTTGATTCTTCAGAAACTGAATTTTAAGGAAATGGTTGGCAAAAAAAATTTTAAGGGGGGAGGGAATTATCTTTTTAAAACTTTAGAATTTTTTTTGGGGGGTGTCCGGTCGTGGGGCCTGAACTCTGGGCCTGGGCGCTGTCCCTCAGCTCTTCAGTTCAAGGCTAGTGCTCTACCACTTGAACCACAGCGCCACTTCCGGCTTTTTTCTGTTTGCTTATGTGGTGCTGAGAAATCGAACCCAGGGCCTCAGGCATGCAAGGCAAGCGCTCTACCACTGAGCCACCTTCCTAGTCCAACTTTAGGATTTTCTGTAAAATTTAAAGGATGGTCTACAATGTCCCCTGATGGAATTCAAACATTTGCTGAGACATTAGATTCTGAACTCTCAAATATGGACAGACAGGGATTTAGTTGGGAAGATTTCATCCCACATTTTTGCATTATATATAAAATGAAGGCATAAAATTTGTTAAAGTGAGTAGAACCAAATAGTTGGCCACTGATAAACTTTTCTTGAAAAATAATGGAAGTAATCAGGCACCAGTGGCTCTCGCCAATAATGCAACTCAGGTTTGAGATCCGAGGATCATGGTTCAAAATCAGCCCAATTAGAAAAGTCCATGATGCTCTTATCTCCACCAACAAAGAGCTGGAAGTAGAGCTGTGGCTCAAGTGATAAGAGTGCAGTCTTGGGTGAAGAAGCAAGCAACAGTGCCCAGGTCCTGAGTTCAAGCTCTACTGCTGGAGTGTGTGTATGCATGCATGCATGCGTGTGCGCACGCGTGCACACACACACATACATATACACGCGAGTCTCCAGAATGTTTCAGCAAGAAATGTTTCTTTCCTCCTTGGGAAAAGCAACATGAAATGTTAAGCTAACTAGTAGAGCAAGGAGCCTTTACCCTGAAACTCATAAATAACCCAAATCGAAGCAGGTTTTTGGATTTAGTTCCAAAGTTGGTGATCCAACTAGATTTGGTAGACAGAATCATGTGGCTTTCCCATTTTAGTGGAGATGGGAGAGAGAGATGGTTAATAGAACTGATTAAGGTTTAATATATCAAAAAAAATTCTCGAGCTTTTAAATTGTGTGCTAAATAGTTGAGGGAAATTATACTGATGGTTACTGCAATTCTTTAAAAATGAGAATAAAACTTTTATCTCTGGACCATGTAAGTCATTATTCCTAAGTTAATTGCATTGTCTCCATCTTCTCTTTGGATTTTTTGCCTTCCTAATATTTCTCAATATACTCTTTTGCTATAAATGGCAGCTTTTGTAGACAACATTTCTTGCTGTTTTTATACCCAGTTGCATTGAAGAAAAAATAAACATAAGCAACTTTGGCCTTTCAATACTAGGAATTATCTTGGAAGTTTAAGCTTTCATACAGGCCTCATTTGTCATTGGTTCTAGCTTTATTAAAACAAACAACCTAAAGTCTTAAAACACTTGATACCTCACTTGCT